CATGAGGAAGAAACGCGTGACAAGCCCTAATAAGAGCGTTTGCAAGGGAGGCCACGTAAGTTTTCAAGCTATTGTCTAGTTCTTTTTCCGGAAATTTTAGTTATCATAGTTTGCTCTTTATTGTGATGGTTATGATTAATTGGTAACAGGACCTCATGTTGTCCAATTCTGTCTGTAATCATTCTCGTGATTAAACAAATCGGACTCCCGCTTCGCGGTCCTCAAATTTTGTTAACCATGCGTATGATTACACAACGAATTGGACTCCATTCAGTTCTGTTACCATTATTTACAGGTTATTTAGCCTTCATTTTTGTGGTTTTATTATCCAAAATATAAATTATTTGGAAATTATGAAATATTTGAAGAGGTGTCGGACATTTTTAGTCAAGTTAACTTTAAAGGTGGCTTCCAAAGTCTCATCTTGGACATGGAACGACGGCAAGCCCGCTGATGCTGACTATAAAACTTTTTCCATAATAAAATTAATTTTGATGTCATTATCAGCTGCAAAACTTAAATGTAAATGCGATATTTTAACATCTTGCGGCCACCGACTTACAGTCTAAGTAAACGATGAAAATTGCTGCTTTCAGATATTTGTATTAATTTAGGTAATGGATATTTTGAGGAAGAATTAAAATTTGGCTCCGAGAAGCCGATTTTAATTCCTGAAATGACTGTGTTAAGATTATGCAAATCACAGGGAAAGAAAAGAGGCCGCGCTTCTTGCGCTTCGATTAAAAACGCTGGGAAACGAAACCCGTCGCAGGCTAGGAAAAGAAAGAGGCTGCACGCAGTCTAGATTAAAGTCCCTGATGAACAGTTTCCCAGCCTCTTCACTTATATTAGAAACCTAAGCAAGATTCCATTATTACCTTTCTTTTAGTAGACGCTGAAATCGGCGTGAATTTTTAAAATACCTTGTACTTACTAGAAATAATAGAAAGCACATGCATTTGCGAAAAGGGTTGAACTTAATCTAATTTTTGCCGTAGACGCCAGCAATCGAAGTATTTTAGTTAGTTTTCACTGAATACGTCAACTGATGCCTTTTAATTTACGAAGTTTGAATGAAAATAGAGGAGGTGTATCGACGGCTTGCTTGCAAAGGAGAAGTTGAAGTTATCGTTAAGTGCGTGAAATGGGAAACTGACAAAACTAACTAGTTTCCCGAGGGACCATACATTAAATGCTTCTGCGTTAGGAGGAGGAGATGCGAAATTCTGCATAGTCACAGGGGTGTTTGGCACTGTGTTTCTGCCAAGAGAATTTTCACTTGTTTGCTCATGAATCGCCACAATTACAGTCATGATAGTTGACTCAAGATTTTCAACAGAACAGGCACTACTAAGAGCATGGGAGATTTCTTTCTGCTTAACCTCTGAAAGACGCCTAGAGTAAGAGCGAATGCTGCTCTCAGATCAGTTGTGTCCTGAAACACGCATTATGTGGCGAGCCTCAAAATTGCACCCCTCCAAGAGCGACACGGCCGTTGCCCTATTACTGTGACTAGTATACTTTTGTGAAAGTTTCAGCTCTTGAGAAATTGAATACCATGATTATAATGAAAACATTATAATTTGCCTTTGGCTTAACTAGTTACCATGAATTTCGTGCCTAACATTTGCTGATTTCTGACATTTTCCCGTCCAAATCTATCCTGTTCTTCCTGACTTTTTATTCCACTTGTCACGCCAATTTCGCCAATTTCCTGTCTGTCTGGACAGACAGACAGACAGACAGACAGACAGACAGACAGACAGGAAAACACTTAATACCAGGAAAACACAGACATCAGTGTTGATTCGCTCCACTGTTTAGTTAATCATGAATTAAAAGATTTGCTCGCTGTTTTCGGATCCTTTGGTCTGGAGTGTACAAATTCAGCATTTATTCAACCAAAATCGACTGAAACATAATATATTCACTTTTTCAACTCGAAAAAGGTCAACACTTTTAAACAGAACAAGTTGCCCAACAGTTTTATTACTTAGCAAAAATGTTTTTGTTTAGTTTTATTTTGCAAGTCTCTTTACATAAAAGTTACGTGTCCAGGGTGAAAATTATCCCGAACTACAATAAAGCGGAATACAGGAAATCGAAAGCCGACACTTAAGTTTTAATTGTAGTATATTCCATGTACCTTCAGTACACATGAGATATGGAGTGGTGAAATTGGGTGCGGTCCATCAGTGTGGACAGCGGTATATCCATGTGCGTGAAGGTCTGACACCGCGTCATGCCGGGGGTGGGAGGCTGGGTTCTCTCAGAAAGAAGTAATGTCGTAGAAGGATTCGTATCTTACAGTACGGATCGCGAACTCGGTTTGTAAGGGGTATTACTAACCTCGTCTTCCCTCTCCGTACTGTAAGTTAGGGATCCTGGTTTTCCTTCTTTGATTTATGGTTCGCGCGCTTCGCGCTTGGGCCATAAATCAAAGGGGATAAAAAACGAAGATTCGTATCTTTCAGTACGGACCTCGAGCTCAGTTAGCAAGAGGTATATATAACACTGAGTTTAGTGTGATCGTCTGAGTAAGGCTAGTCTGGTAAGAACTGTTGTTGGTGACATTCGTTTTGACAAACAGAGCGGAAGTC